CCCCAAAAAAACCCCCGCCTGCCCCCTGGCGCCGCGTGCGCCGTATTGTGGGCCGTGTGCCGCGTTCCTGCGTCCCCAGGCTGCCCTGCCAGCCTGGGGTGACAGCGCCGAGCTGCTTGCAGCGGCGACTGCCCTTGCACATGGCTGCCCCTGCCCGTTGTTGCCCTTGGCCCAACCCATGGCTGCACCCACCCAGTGTCACCCCTGCCCTCACCCATGCCTTTTTCACGACACCGCTGACCAGCCCAAAGCTTCATCAGCGCCGGTGACTCCTGGAGTCTGCTGCATGCCCTGCACTGCCTGCACACAGTGCCCTGCGCTGCCGAAGTCGAGGTCAACAACAGTGAAAAGCCAACCCATTTACAATCATGCTAATCGCGAAATAATCTTGGTCTGATTCTTGATGCAGCGCGGCGACAAGAAATGTGCTTTACAGATCAAGATGGGAGGGTCAGAGTGAACACGTGCACACGCAAGACCAGCACCAGCAGCAGCGGCGCCGACACATGACCAAGAAACGGCATTGCTTAGTGGTTTTGACGCTGCCAGCTGGCAACGCTGCCAGCTGGCAGCTCTGCGCAGCGCTTGCTTGATTGCCAGGCCGCGAGTTTGCGGTGCCGCAACCAGGGGAATTTCAGTGTGCGCGCGGAGTGGCGCGGCCTATTGCTAGCTGCCCCGCAGACAGGTTGATGGTGCAATGCGACGGCACCTCCAATTGCAGGTCTTAGAGCAGCTGGTGTGTAATTGGACGCCGCGGCCTGCCTGGAGCGATGCATCGCCCGCCCCAGCCTCGGCCGAGGGCTGCGCGGCGCATGCCTTGTTAGCGCCCAGCCGCCGGGACCCCCTCGCCTCCCAAACGCGGCCGCCGCGCCGCGCCCAGCCTCATGCCTGCTGCCGTCTACTTGGCGGCCCGCGCACGCCGGCCGGCGTCGGGGCGCATGCTGGTACCAAAGACGACATCAAAAAGCACAGAGCTGATCTGGAACCCTCGGGTGCCGTCCTGGTAGTGATGGTGCTCGTGCCGCGCCCGCAGGCGCCGCAGGAAGCCGAGCGGCAGCTTCCCGCCGTGGTGCAGCGCGTAGTGGGTGCAGTCATAGGCGACGTACCCGAGAACGACCCCCGCCATGAGCCCGAGCGCCGGCCCACGCGCGAGGGCGAGGCGGGCGGCGGAGTAGATGAGGGACGCGATGGCGGCCGCGGGGACGGGCGGGAAGACGAGGCGCAGGCCGTCTGAGGGGTACTTGTGGTGGCAGCCGTGGAAGAGGAAGTGGATTGTGATGGCCCAGTAGCCGGCGCCGCGCGCGTGGAAGGCGAAGCGGTGGATGGAGTACTCGAGGAGCTGCCACAGCGCGACGCCGGCAAACACGAGCCCGGCCAGCCGCGGCAGCGCCGCGGCGGCGGCGGGGCCGTCCCAGGCGCCGCGCGGCTGCTGCTGCGGGTCGTGCTCCTGCTGCGCGGCCGCCGAGAGCGCCGCCGACGCGGCGTCGTCGGCCAGCTCGCGGAGCGAGACCGCGGCGGCGGCGGCGGCGACGGGCAGCCAGATCAGCGGCACGACCCACCACGCCGTCTTTGAGAAGGTCTCGTAGAACTCGCCCTCGAAAAAGCGGGGCTTGCCTGGCAGAGGCCGCTCGACCCAGTCCCAGTATTTTTCACCCATCCTGCCGACCGTGAAGACGAGGGGCCCGCTCTCGTCAAACGGCTGCTGCTGCGGCGGTTGATCGCGCCGGTCGCCGCCTGCTCGCCGCTGCGCCATCGCTGGCGACGGCGTGGCACCCTGCAATGCGCGCTCCGCTGGTGGCCGGTGGCAGCGATTTGGGTGCTGCTGCTGCGGGCCTGGCGTGATCGTGTATATTACCGTATTAAAGCACAGTGTATTGCAATATGTGCAGCCTGTCAGTCCCGGCTGTGTGAAATGGCACTGCAGAGACTGCGATCTGGTGTTTCTCGGGCAGATGCGCCGTTGTACAGCTCAGAAGATTGAGAAACAATTTACATGTAGTCAGTGGTTTGGACAAGTCGTAGCACTCGTACGGTGATGATACTGTAGTACCCGTGGCATCATGGCCTCCTCGCACCACCTGTGGTGTGGAAGTATCAACGCATCACACATTGTGTAGCTTTGAACTTGGCCCCGCCTCGCGTGCCATGCGGGCGGCGCACCCACGTGCTGCAGCTGTCGCGCCGCTCGTCGCAGTCAAGGGCGGTCAAGGCGCCATTGCCCCCCGAATTGCGCCGGCGAAACGGCGCTATCAGCCACGCGCATAATGGGCGCGCAGGTGCAGACAGCCTTCACGGTACAGGACGCCGGGGATGCAGCCGAGCTTCGGCTGCAGCGTCGGCGGCTGGCGGCCGTCCCGGCGGGTGCGCTGCTGCATTGTGCCCGTGAGAGCAGAGGCGAGCAGGTCCCGACCCTGGGCCACTCGCGCCCTTGCCGGCAGCCGCCGTGTTGCATGGTAGTGCACGGCCGAAACACACATGCATTGTGCACGAACATGTGCGTGCGACAGGCATACAAGATTTCTCCAGTGGTCGCCCCGGCGCAGGATTTGCTGCGCCAACGCGGACCCCGTGACTGCAGGCCCCCTCAATGCACCGCTGCCCAGCGTTTGCCGACTGCGCAGCTGCCACAGCAACACCTCTAAATATCAATCTTGTGCTTCTAATCATCCACCACCCGCCCACCCCTGCCTTGGCAGGCGTCTCAGCCCTGGAATTACTAAGGGACCTCGACCTGTCAGACAACCCCCAAATCACATCCCTCGACGCCGCTGACCTCCCCCGCGGCCTGACCGCCCTGCGGCTCACCGGCTGCGGCCTGGGCCGGCCGCCCGACGGCGCGGCCGCCCGCCTGCCCGAGCTGCGGCAGCTGTTCCTCTCTGCGAACCGCATTTCGGGGGACCTGCGGCCCGTCCTGCGGTGCGAAAAGCTAGAGCATGTGGGGCTCGCCTACAACCGCATCGACGCCCTCTGGAGCGGCCACGCAAGCAGCCGCGGCGGCAGCAGCGGTGGTGGCGGGCCTTGCGGGAGCGGCGGCGGCGGGGAGGCCGAACGGGGTGCAGCTGCTGCGCCGGCCGGCGCGACACCGGCGCCGGGGCCAGCGGCGAACCCGGCGGGGTTGCTGAGAAGCTGCCCATTAGTAAGCCTGGACCTGAGCCACAATGACCTCTGCGACCTGAGGGCCGCCCTGGAAGCTGCCGCGCAGCTGCCCCGCCTGCGGGTCCTCGCGCTGCGAGGCAACCCCCTGGCGCTGCTCCAGGGGTACCGCGCCGCGGCGCTTGCCGCGCTGCCGCGTCTGAGCTGGCTGGACGGGCGGAAGGCGGAGGGGCAGCTGGACGGCGGCGCGACGGCGGGCGAGGGCGGCGGCGGCAGGAGCAGGCCGGGGAGCGCGAGGACGGGCGGCGCGGCGGCGGCGGCCGCGGCGGCGGAGGCGCTCAGGAGCAGCAGCTGCGGCGGCGGGGGCACGTGGGTGTTGCTGGATCTGTCGGCTTTGAGCGTCGATGCGGAGTTTGTTGCGCGCGTGTTTGAGGGGCTCAAATTGAAGGGCGGCGGCGGCAGCGCCCGGCCATCAGAGGACGGTCCCGGCGGTGGCGACGCGCCGTCGGACGGCGCCGCGCCCTCCGCGCCAGGTGCCAACAGCAACGCCCGCAGGGGCGGCGTCAGCGGCGGCGGCGGTGGCGGCGGCGCGGCGGGGAGGCGCGCCAGCAGCGCCGGCGGCGGCG